TGTGTGTGTGTGTGTGTTGGTTTAAAGAGCTTGACAGGCAGAGCTGAGGCTCCTCCTCCTCCTGTCGGTCCCAGTGCAGACTGTAAGACATGAAGTGGACTTTTCTCTGGACGTCAACATTCTGATGAGGAGGAGACGGAGGATTGCTCAGCAGTATTTCTGATGATCACTCACTTATCGATTGAAGGACAAATACTTTGAAGTGTAAAGTTTCCTGTGACAAAGTCAAACCCTGAGTCATCACATCATGAACTGTTTCCAGAAAATGTCCAGAGACACTGACTCAGACATTTGTCCTCATTTACATGTGAGGGACATGTAGGGACTTCAGGACAGGACTGCAAACATCTGCAGTGATTCATTAAACAACAGTAGAGTAGTTATAAAGCGTCTTTAGAGTTTATGTAGAGACACATGGAGGATCGGTGCAGGTGGACGGTCATGTGACATGTGTGTTGTGGTGCGTTAGCGTGGACGGAGGACTCCAAACATATATGACTGATATAGAGCTTTTTAAAATCCTGTTCCTCCTGTGAGTGTTTGAAACTCTGAACCCTGAGTCAAGTATTTATTCTCTCCTTGTGTTTGAAATATATTTTTATTAAATATAATGGAATGATCTGTGTGTAGCTCCAGAGCCAGGTCCAACCTTTCATGGACTCCACTCCGTGTTTTCCCATCGTCCCCTGCTCCTGTGTGTGTGTGTGTGCGTGTGTTTCAGTGTGTGTGTGTGTGCGTGTTCGGAGCTGTGGACCGGGGGAATGGGACCGTGTCTGCGGAGCTTTGTGCGTGTGTGTGCGGGCAGAGAGCAGAGATACTGGGGCAGACGTGTGGAGGACAGACCCGGAGCCTCCTCTTCTCAGCCAGCGACACTTGAGTGCAGCTGAAGCCGCAGTGAGGTGGAGGTTCCCGGCGCACTGCTGCGCCGCGCCGCGGGGGATGTGCGCACACAATGGGAGACGACGCGCTGGCACCGTCCGGGACTCGACAACAACGTTCACCCGCGGGTTGTGCGCAATGGAGACCGGAGCTGGATCCTGAGCTGCCCGCCGGACAGGACGGGTCCCGCTGCTGAGGACTCCCTCTGCCCGCCTGCAGGAGTGTTTTTACTCCGGTGCAGAGGCTGCTGTGAGCCGGGGACAGGAGCGGAGGAGCCGCCTGCTCCGAGTGCCTGCTGCCGGTTCGATTCCGCTGGGACGAACCCGGAATGTATTTCCTGCGTCAAAGTGCTGTTTGCACATCTGGATCAGAGGGAAGTCCATGTTTGGAGTCGAACCAGTGTTGGAAACGTCTTCAGCCACAGCAGAGCTTCTCTTCTTAATGTGATGAAGGTCTCACTCGCAGGAACTTCAGCATCTTCTCAGTGTCTCTCAGGAAAGTGGATCTGTGATTAAACACCTTCAGTCGGTGTTCTTTGCTGCAGACTCTTCAGAGGGAGGAGGAGGAGGAGGAGGAGGAGTATGTACCTCCTGGACAGTAACTGCACTGACAGGATGGACAGGGGCACGCCTCAGAGGAAGACCGTGTACCGCATCTCCCTCACCCTGGTGAAGAGGGAGAGTCTGGACGACGAGGATGGAGAGCAGGACCCCCGAAGAGCGGAGAACCCCAAGGTGGGCGCCTTCCGCCGGGAGGGCTCGGTGGAGGTCCAGCGCGGCGGCCTGCTGGAGCAGCTGAAGGAGGTGGAGGACGAGAACGACGACTTGTCCTCGTCACACAGATACATGAGGAACTTCAGGACGTTCAGCACCGGGCAGCTGGAGCTGGGGAGGATGAAAATGTCCAGGAAACAGAACGAGCTGAAGGAAAAGGCCACCAGCCCGTTAGCAGAGCAGAGCAGAGCGACCCCCGAGAGCATCTCAGCTCAGGGTGCAGAGGACGCTCCCAGGGAGGACAGGCGGCAGGAAGCAGAGGATTCAGAGGCGATTTCCTCTGAACCTCCTCAAACAGAGGCTGCGCTGGAGAACGGCAGCGATCAGAAGAAGAAGAGGCTCCTGAAAGCAAAGAGCGTGGAGGAGAGGAGCTCTGACGCTGCTCTGAACGGCGATGAGATATCTCACTCCAAGAGTAACGGGAAACCAGCGAAAGTTACTTCTCCTGAGACCCCCCCTCCGAAGAGACCACCCGGACTCCTGCGTCGCAGCTTCAGCTTCAGGCACTGGACGGGCGGCGAGCTGCTGCGTCTGCGGGCGCTCTCCAAAGACAAACACCACAGCAGCTCCGGTTGCATCACCCGTGACGCGGGGCCTGAAGGCGGTGAGGTGACCCCAGAGGCTGCCGCTGTGCCGCCACCTTCTCGCCACAACGACCTCACCAGAGAGAAGAGCAGGACCCTGGAGGTCGGAGCCGTCCTGAACAAGACGGACTCCATGACGGAGCTGAGCCGCTGGGAGAGAGCTCGCGGCAACAAGAACCGAACGCTGGACAACAGCGACCTGCAGCGTCTGGCGGCCGAGAAGGACGCACCAGGAGGGGGGTTCCTGCTGCGGGGCGGAGGCGGTCGCTCCAGTGAGAGGCGTCTGGTTCGCTTCTTCAGCGGGATCTTCTCCAGGAGGGACGGGGTGTCCACTTCCACGCCGGTAGGAAGCCCCAGCACCAACCGGTCCCTGCGGCGGAGCAGGAGGGCGGCGCTGTCTCAGTCCAGTACGGAGAGCATGAACGGAGGAAGCACTGACGGTAAAAACACGTCTGACCTCTGTGTTCGTCTGTCAGCTGGAGGGTTTAACCATATTTCATTCACAGGAAATGATGAGTTGATTGGTTCTGAACGACTCAAGCTCGTGACGTGTCAGTTTGGCACCTCGTCATCTCTGTGAGTTTACTTCCTCGGGTGGTTTCACTTTTAGAGACGTGAACGTTTCTTCCTCCACCCTAATTATCTTCTGACCCCCGAGGGGAATCTGTGGGCCCGCGTTTGGGCCCCTGAACCTCAGGTTGGACCTCAGTGACTCAGCAGAGGCAGAAACATGATGTGATTTTTAAAGTGAGTGGATCCACAGAGTTTGTCAAGGTTGAAGCAGCAGGGAGCAGAGTGTGTGTGTGTGTGTGTGTGTGTGTGTGTGTGTGTGTGT